TTTTTATTGGAGAGGTTTTTGCTATAGGGTGCATGTGCTCGCCAGAAAGACAGAAGAGAGACAGAGACAGACAGAAAGTGAGAAATCATCCCCCCGGGGAGATGGCCACGCCGCAATCCCTTCTCCTCCTTTCTCCTCTTGGGATCTTAGGCACGCATGCACATGTGCCCAGCGTGAGTTTAAGCTGCCAGGTCCAGGTCTCGAACCGTGGTTGACTACATGGGAGTCCAGTAACATAGCCATTACGCTAAATGCTGGCCCCTGTATTAATTTCAATCAATAGTTTCAAATCCATTTCTTCCATTTTTTTGTTTTTAAGAGAGATTTTTGCTATAGGGTACATGTGCTTGCTAGAGAGATAGAAAGCAAGAAATCAGCCCCGGGAGATGGGCACACCACAATCCCTTCTCCTCCCTTCTCCTCCCAGGATTTTGGGCACACATGCACATGCGCCTGGCATGAGTTTCAAGTTGCTGGGTCCAGGACTAGAACTATGGTCAGCCATGTGGAAGTCCAGCGACATAACCATCACATCATCCACTGGTCCCTCTTCTGTCTTTTTAATAAACCTGCTATTTAGGAGTAAATATCATCTAAATGATGGATAAAGATTGCTAATTTATCAGACTACTAAAGAGAAATGGACCACTGAATGAACCCAATTTTTCAATGACTCAACAACCATCCTGTAATAGATTCAGAATCTAGTTTATTGCCTTGCTGTGGCCAAGATGCTTTTAGATTTCTCTCATTCAGTTTCTTCATCTGCAAAACAGAGCGTGTAATTTCTATTGTAAAGCATCCTGAGGATTAAATCAATAAGGAAATGTGTCTGAACGTGTCAAGGACCAGCACTTACCCCACAGCTGTTGAATCTACGCACAAAGTGTGTGCTGCTGCTAAGGACATGTGGGTCTGTGTAAGCTTTGAGGCAGTGTGCACTGTGATCTGCTCAGTTAAAAACTCCACCACAGGGGCAGGTGGCATGTGGTTAAGGTACTGGAATCCCACATGGCCAAATGTGGTTCGAGTCCCGGATCTGGTGGCTTGAAACCCATGCCAAGCATGTGTGCATGTGCATGTCCTAAATCCCAGGAGGAGAGTGAAGGAGGTGGGATTGTGGCACAGCCATTCCCCCAAGGGGATGATTTCTCACCTTCTCTCTCTCTGGCAGTAAGCACCTGTACCCTGCAGCAAAAACCTACCAACCAACCAACCAAACTGCCAGAACTACCACCTCGAGCACCTCTTCCCACTGCTCTTCTGCCAGTACATCCATCATTTCTCTCTTCCTGTCTGACTACTTCTCTATGCTGCCTTTTCTCTTCCCACAGTGTAATCCCCTATAAGGCCCACTACATGGCACTTCATTCTTGAGATTTACTAAATTCCTCTTCCCGAGGGTCAGTCCCACATTACTATTGTTTGCTAGATAAAGTCAGCAACAACAGCTCAAGGTTATTTGCCCCCATACCCCAACTTTAGAAATAATTCCCCATTTTTATTTCCTTATTTGCCAGTGGTTCTACCATTTTCCATTCCATCATAGTGAATATAATAGTGTTCTTTCCTTCTGTATCACATCAATCATCAAATTCTACGACTTTACTCTGAAACATCTTCATTCTATGAAACATCTCCTAATTCAATTCCTTTTATTTCCACTGGTAACAGTTATCCCAACAGTCTTGGGTCAGGTACCGTTGCATTACCATATATTAACTTCCTTTTTAAAATTTTTTACAAGAGTTTTTTGCCCTAGGGTGTGTACACTCACTGGAGAACAGAGATAAAGACAGTGATACGCAAATTGAGAAATCGTCATGGGGGGGGGTGGGATGGCAATGTCGTAACCCCTTCTCTTCCATCTCCTCCTAGGATCTTAGGCACGCACACACAGGTGCCCAGCATGATTCTGAAGTCATGTCTGTGACTTGAACCGTGGTCGGCCATGTGGGAGTCCTGCAACGCAACCGCTATGCCATCTGCTGGCCCTATCATATTAACTTCTAAGTAGTCATTTCTTCCCCGTACATACAGGCTCAAGAATCTGCAGTACTCACTCAGCACCTACAAGATAAGATGTGCTTTTTGTCCAAGACATGTGGCAATCTAATTCCTGTTTCTCTACCAACTGTCACCGCCTGCTTCTCAGACCCCCTTCAGTCAGGTCTGCCTGATCTACTGCTTAATCAATTTCCCTGTAAGCATGTTTCTTTCCCTCTTACTATCTATTGCTTGACCATCTTTCAAAGCCCAGTGTAAGTCTCATCTTTGCTATAGTGCCTTTCCTTAATTCCCTGAATTTATGATGCTGTTATCCTTTTGTAGAAAACTCAGGATAAGTCAAAAGTAAGTAGGATTTTAACTTACATCTCGCAAAAGGGTATGTATGGGTCAGACCATACTTGAGATACTATCAAGTTTCAGTGATATTCTTTTTTTTAGAGGTTTTTGATTAGGGCTCATGGGCTTGCCAAAGAGAGAGACAGACACAGTGAGAGGTAAAGTGAGAAATCACCCCTTATGGGGGCGATGAGGGGAGTCAGGTGTTGCAATCCCTTTTCCTCCATTCTCCCTCTAGGATCTTGAGCATACAATGTCCCCAGCACGATTTTGAAGGCAATGGATCCGGGACTCAAATGGCAGTAGGCCATGTGGGAAGCCAGTGATATAACCGCTATGCCATCTGCTGGTCCTAAGTTTTAATAATATTCTAAGAGGAGGGTAACAATGATACTAAAGAGTTAAAATAGATAAAATTGAAAAGACTGAAGAATGTTTGATCTGGAGAAGAGAAGATTATAGGTGACTTCACAGATGCTTCACTTGTTATGTGTGAAAATTAGACATATGAGGTATATGTGCAGAGCTGCATGTATCTGAATAGGTCTACTGACCTGTAGCATAGTCGCTTGGGAAAATGAGAAAAACCTGTTTTAGAGGGTAGACTTTTTTTTCGTTCTTTCGTTTTTTTGAGGGTAGACAGTTTTGGAAAGAAGACTTTAACTCAGTTTAACAGAGACATTTTAAAAAAGTTATTAAAAAAAGAAACAGGTCCCATAGCATAGTGGTTAAATGTGTGCTTGGGCAGTGGGATCCCACATGGTTGGCTTAAAGTTGAAATCCTGGCTCCAGCAGCTTGAAAAACATGCTGGGTATGAGAGCATGCATGGCCAAAATCCTGATGGGAAGGAGAATCAGAGGAGAGGACTGCAGCCTGACTACACCCCACCAGGGAGTGGTTTCTCTCTCCCACTCCCTCTCTTTCTGGCAAGTTCATGTACCTATTGACAAGAAAAAAAAAAAGCTATTAAAAAAAAAAAAAAGAAATGGGCTGCCTTGTAAGGCAATATGTCTTTTTTTTAAAAAATAAGTATTTTATTTAACTTTATTTATTTGTTTTAACTTGATGAGAGAGAGAGAGAGAGAGCAAGCAAGCAAGCCACCAGATTCAGGACTAGATCTGCAGTCTGCCATATGGGAGTCCAGTGCCCTTAACCACCACACCATCTGCTGGCTCTGGTTACGTGCCTTCTTAATAAAAGTTTTTCAGGAAATCTCAAATCTTTCTTTTGCAACGTTATCTCTAATCAATTGCCATTTTTTGGTGGACTATGAATATATAGAATATTTGACATTTGGTCCATCTTCTTTTACACTTTCTGGGGACCAGCAGATGTTGTAGTGGTTATGTTGCTGCATTCCCATGTAGTCAACTGCATGCGGTTCAAGCTCTGGACCCAGTGGCTTAAAACTCATGCCAGGCGTGTGTGCGTGCATGCCCCAAATCCCAAGAGAACAGATGAGAAGGAACTGAGGCGTGGCCATCCCCCTGGGGGGTGATCTCTTGCTTTCTGTCTCTCCAGCAAATGCATGTGCTCTATGGCAAAAAGCTCTCTAACAAACAGTTGCTGTCCTAGACCTTCTTATATCATTCCACCTTTCAAATGACAGAGCTCACTCCTTTCGATTCCCACTTGATCTCTGATGCCACGTGCATTTGCTTTCTATTTCTCGGATAATCTCTTCTTCCATCTGCATTCTAAATGTTGGTCTAACCCCAAGCCTGGCTGCCTTCTCTCAGTTAGAGCCCGTTTCCAGGTGCTATCACCTGGTCACACTTCCTCCAACTCTAAGCCTTTGATTACTGCTTGTATGCCAATAGTTACTAAATCTCATTCAACTACCAATAATAGTGTATCTCTACCTGTAAATTTCAACATTCTTCAGGAGAGTCCTTCCCATAACTCCATATTGTTGTATTGCACCATCACCAATTTAAATGTTCAGATCAGAACCGTGGGAATCCATAGATTATCTTCTCCTTCATTCTTCAACCGTAGCATAAAGAAACACTCATCCTTACTACTCAGAATGTATTCTCTATTTTTTATTTAATCCTACTTCTTGGGGAAAAATGCTAATCACAACCAACTGAATTAAGTTTTTTATAAGGTTTTTGCTATAGGGCATATTGTGCTTGCCAGAGAGAGACACAGAGAGAAAAATGAGAAATCACTCCCTTAGGTGAGATGGCCATGTCGCAATCCCTTTTCCTCCCTTCTCCTCCTGGGACTTTGGGCATACATGCATATGTGCCTGTCATGATTTTCAAGCCACCAGGTCCAGAGCTTGAATTGTGGTCAGCCGTGTGGAAATCCAGTGCTTTAATCACTACTGGCCCCCCAAATGGATTAATTTAACAACATTAAAAACAGGTCATGATCTGTAGTTTGAAAAACACTATATACATAAAAACCCAGGGAACCAGCAGTTAGTGTAATGGCTATGTTGCTGGACTCCCACATAGTCGACCGGGGTTCGCGTCCCGGACCCGGTGGCTTAAAACTCACGCTGGGCGCGTGTGCGTGCGTGCCCAAGATCCCGAGAGCAGAATGGAGGAGAAGGGATTGCGGCAGCGTGACCATCCCCCCCTGGGGGGTGATTTCTCGTTTTCTGTCTCTATGTCTCTTTCTGTCTGTCTGGCGAGCACACGTGCCCTATAGCGAAAAAAATCTCTCCCAAAACAAAAACAAAAACAAAAACAAAACCCATATATAATTAACTTCCTATTCTGACAGTGATTAGCAAAGCTTTTCACAGATACAAGTATCTTCATCTTTATTCTTTTTTTTTTTTTGGAGAGGTTTTTGCTATAGGGTGTGTGCGCTTGCCAGAAAGACAGAGAGAGACAGAAAGTGAGAAGTCACCCTCCGGGGGGATGGCCACGCTGCAATCCCTTCTCCTCTAGTCTCCTCCCAGGATCTTGGGCATGCATGCACATGCGCCCGACGTGAGTTTAAGCCACTGGGTCCGGGACTCGAACCGTGGTCAGCTACATAGGAGTACAATGACATAGCCATTACGCTAACTGCTGGTCCCTTCATCTTTATTCTTTTTTAAAGTTTTTGCTGTAGGGTGCTTATACTTGTTTAAGAGAGAAAGAGTGAAAGGAAAAGTGAGAAATCACCCGCTGGGTGGATGGCCACATTGAAATCCCTTATCTTCCATTCTCTTCTTGGGATTTTGGGCATGCATGCACATGTACCCAGTATGAGTTTTCAAGCCACAGGATCCGGGAGTCTAACCACTCAGTTGGGCATATGGGACCCAGCTGCCTTAACCTCCATGCCACCTGCTGACGGTAAGCATCTTTATATGCACCTAGTAACTGTCTCCCTCTTTTGGACTTATTTCTAAAAGAAGACATTTTTAAAAGTACATTTATGATCTTATAACACCAGACTATAAGAAAGGGTCATGTCAAAAGATTTAGGAGTCAACCTGAAAACATTCTAAGTGGCTAAAGATGGAATAATGTTGGCATCAATAAACAAAATAAATGCAACACACTGAGTTACATCAACTATGTTTCAATATCTGAGTTCACAAAGATACCTAAAAAACACACCTAATTGGTTATGATTAGAGGGTGAAATAAGTCATACTTTGTAAACTAGTAAATAAAGAGAAATAATTGAATATCTCTTGCCTTCACTATATAAACTCTATCATGGGGTAACACATGGGTAATCCATTCTTTTCTGAATATTCTAGCTCTTAAATGGCAAAGGAATGACAGAATTATCAAGTAGAGCTAGGTGCTAATCTTCTTCCTTTTTAAAAAATTAGCAGGTGGTGGGGGGGTGGAGGGGAAGGGCACATGTACCCTCCAGAGAGACAGAGAAGAAAGCACACCTCCCCTCCCCCACCAAGTGTGGTCATGCTGCAATTCCTTTTCCTTCACCTCATTGAGATTTTGGGCACACATGTCAGCATGGTTTTTAAGCAGCCAGGGCTGGGATGTGAACCACCACTGGCCATGTGCGATCAGCTCCCTTAACCCCTGGGACCAGTCCTAAGGGGTATTTTCTATCTATAGATTGAAAGAGACGTAACACATCAACTAATTGCAAGGTATGGCTCTCATTTGGACCTTGACTCAAAAAACTAACCTATAAAGAAAAAAATAATCACTGACATTTATGAAATGATTAGATTAGAGAAAGGACAAATGAACAGTTGATGATACTCAGAAATTATTTTGGTACGATAATGATACAGTGTTTATGTTTTTTAAAACAACATCTTTTAGGAATGTATTGTCAGGAGAGTAAGAAGGGAATGGACAAAATATAATTGATTTTGGGTTGATAACTGTTAAAACTGGATGATAAATACATGTGAACTCATATATTCTATTTTTAAAAAGTCAGTGATAATACAAAATATTTAAATAATATGGAAAAAACATGATTACACAAGAAGGCTTAGAAAAGTAGAATTAAAGTAAAATTTTATTTTGGTGCAAAACTTTAAATCAGATGGGTAGTTTTTTCATAACACACATTTTTCATAATCTCATGCACATAAACTGGGTTTTCTTTTTTTAAAGCAAAATCATGCAATAGAAGTCATCTTAGAAAGTTGCAAAAATATATTTTTCTTTTGAAATTTCTTCCATGTGAGTCTCTGAAATTTCATTTAGAATATATGTCATATGCAATTTTTCTCAGTCTTGTTCTAAAACATTTCACGTTTTAAACCTAATAACCCAAAGGCACCAAGTAATCTTGATATTTATTTAGTGAATGACAAATAAATGGAACTATTTTCTTTGGTGTTAATTTTAAGAAAATTGTGTTCAGCTCAGACATCTTTATTATTTCGCTTTCCTTCTATTGTTTTAACCTTCCATAGCTAAAAATGGCAGGTACATATGGAGGAGAGCTCCTTCCATCCTAGCAGGCTCTAAAGAAAGGGTTCTGACACACACATTAAAGAGGTGAAAGACTATGTGCCCTGTGTGTCTGTGTGCGCGCTCGTGTGACTGCCAGAATGAAACACTTCCCTAGTTGTCAGTTTTAAAGAAGACACTTTTGAACTTTTCTTTGCCTAATGGAGTCCATTAAAGATCTCTTGCTCAAGGTTTCTTCAGTGTGTTAGGAACATATAGTCCATTTGTAAATTTTTCACTTTCTTGAATGCTCAACTTTGTTCCTTCACATCTTTATTCCTATTTTAATCTCATTCAGTTTTTAAATGCTAATCCATTTGTTAGAAAAGTCACTGGAATATTCCCAAATTGACAATCCTTCATGAGGAGAATTGTTACATCTTACAACTCCTGTCACATATCAGAATCTCCTTGGAAGCTGTTGAACACTCAGATCCCTACGCAGAATCAGAATGCCCAGAGGAGGGCACAGAGCATGGGATGGAGATGTGAATTTCAAATTCCCTAGATAACTGATGAGACAGTTTATGAGTTAGCATTTGAGAACTGGTAACTGAAAATAATTTTCTTTACTCTGAAATAAATGAGTACACGATAACACTAAACATCTATAACAAATTTAGATGAAAAAAATTAATGTTAACATAAAGCCTTAAAAAAATAATTAATGTCTTACCCTTGAGGCTCTTGGACGGTCTTGTTTTCTACTTTTTGTTCACATTCTTTTATCATGGAACTTAAAATAACCTGATTGAAAAAAAACTACTTTAGTGAAATACAATTTACACAGTGAAAATCCATAAAGTTTTCATTTTTTAATATTCCCATAAGTTACTGTTAATTACAAAGTTACAGTTAAAGGAATTCATAGATTTCTATATAAGGTATAAAAACAGCTTTACATGGGAACCAGCAGTTAGCGTAATGGCTATGTCGCTGGACTCCAACATAGTCGACCGCGGTTCGCGGCCCAGACCCAGTGACTTAAAACTCACGCTGGGCGCGTGTGTGTGCGTGCCCAACATCCTGAGAGGAGAATGGAGGAGAAGGGATTATGGCGTGACCATCCCCTCTGGGGGGTGATTTCTCGCTTTCTGTCTCTCTGTCTCTCTCCATCTGTCTGGCGAGCGCACACGCCCTATAGCGAAAAAACCTCTCCAAAACAAAACAAAACAAAACAGCTTTACACACATTCTTTCTCAGTAATAGCTGCTCTTTTCCACACCTTTCTGCTTTCTCCTGGATACAAAAAAGCAAGATGCTCTATTTTAATGTCTAGAAGTGAGACTCGGTGTAGTGATGTGGTTACTAAATATAACCTGGGATACAATGGTATCTGAGTTAAAGAGGTCTTATTATTATTATTATTTTTAATTTTGCTGCGGCGTGTGTGCACTAGCCAGAGACAGACAGACAAAAAGCAAGAGAAAGAGGACAGAGAGAGGAAAAGTGAGAATTCACCCCGGGGAGGATGCCCCCTCCCAGTCGCTTTTCCTACATTTTCCTCTTGGGATTTTGGGCACGTACACACAAATGCCTGGCATGTTTTTCAAGCTGCTGGGTCCAGGACTTGAACTACAAAGTTGGCCATGTGGGACCCAGCTGCTTTAACCACCATGCTACTGGCTGACATTCTTGTAGGGAGACTGGGTGAAGGAAAGGATATAGAGATTTAAGCTGCTGCTGTGAATACCAGCAACCATGTGAGAAACAGAAGGGCCATACTGAATATTCTTGGGCCATATTTGGGCATGGGGGTCACTAAATAAGTATTAACTTTCTATGTACTATATGTCCAGTACTCTTAGACACCAAACATAGAGCAAATACAAAAGACGGTATTTCCTCCCTGGCGGGGGAGCTCATATCTAGTAAGGGAGGTAGTCAACAAACACACGAAAAGTAGGTACATTATATAGTATAACAGAAGGTAAAAGGAACTTTTAAAAAAGCATTGGATAAGATCAAGGGTATCAGGAAGGCCAAGGTGGAAAATGTTATGACATACACAGAGGGGCTTGGGGTAGGCGTCATGGAAAAGATGATGTTTAAATAAAAACTTGAAGTACATAAAGGAGCAAGTGCTTTGGGCTCCGGGCCAAGGCAAAGTAGGCTTACCAAGTTCTACGCAAGAAAGCCAGTGGGTGGGTAGAGTTAGCAAGGAGCACCGGGGAGAAGATGTCTAAAATGTAATGGAGGAGGGGGCTAGATTCCAGTCCTGGCTGCCAGCTTCTTGAGGTCAAAAAGGGGAAGAATGTCTCATCATAAACTATTTTCCACTTAATTTCCCTCTTTTCAGTATATCACCTCACTCCTGTTCTCAACTATAGCTGATATCCCAAGTCTAAAAAGTAAAGCTCTAGTCTTCCATAAAGGCTGGAAAGGTAATTTGGGAGTTTCTTTTTTTTTATTTTTTGAAGTTTTTGCTACAGGGCATGTGCGTTCGCCAGAAAGACAGAGAGACTGCTGCAATCCCTTCTCCATTTTCCTTTCAGGATCTTGGGCATCCATGCACACACACCCGGCTGAGTCTAAGCCACCGGGTCTGGGACTCAAACTGCGGTTGCCTACATGGGAGTCCAGTGACATAGCCATTATGCCAACTGCTGGTCCTGAGAGTTTTATTCTTTTAAAGTCTTTAAATCTATTTTCGGTCTCATCCTAGCCTAATGGTGGTAGGGTATTTTACAGTGAAATAAAGCTTACTTCTTGTTTGTTCTAGCTTGCAGATTTCAATTTAGCTTTCATTTTGAATGCAAAAATTCTCAGTAGAATGCTAACAAATGGAATACGGCTACATATAAAAGGAATTATATACCATAATCAAGGAGGATAACCCTGGGAATACAAGGATGGTTTAACATCCAAAAAATCCAGTACATTGTCTCAATAAAATAAAAAAAATAATGAAAGAATCATCTAATTAATGTAAAAGTAACTAACAGAATGGGCAAATTAAGTAAGTAGCCAACAATAACAATTCAATAGAAAATTTCCAACAGCTCCAAATTAAACAAACCCTATGGGTCGATAAAAAATAATTAAAATAAGAATCTAATATGAATAGAATGATAACAAAGATACAATATAGCAAATGCATGGGATATAGATAAAGCAGTACTGAAAATCTTAGTTTTTTTTTAATAACTTTTCTTTTAAGACAGATTTTTGTATTAGGATGTGTGTGTGCTCGCCAGAGAGACAGCGAGAGACAGAGAGACAGAAAGAGAGAAATCACTCCCCAGGGGGGGATGGCCATGCTGCAATCCTTTCTCTTCCACTCTCCTCTTAAGATTTTGGGCATGCATGCATATGCACCCAGTATGAGTTTTAACCCATTGGGTCTGGGACCTGAATCACAGTCAACTACATGGGAGTCCAGTGATATAACCATTATACACCAACTGCTGGTTCCGAAAACCTTAAATTTTTATAGCAGAAAAGTTTAAAAAATTTAAGTTTCCTCCTCAAACAGCTGGAAAAATTGATAAGGAAAATCAAACCTAAAGAAAGTCAAGGGAACTAAAGATAAAAATAGAAATCAAGGAAATAGAATAAAAGCAATAGAGAAAATCAAGACAGCCAAGAGTGTAATACATTCATGTTCTGCATGATGATATAGTATCTCATATAAGACAATGATCCCATAAAGGGCATGTGGGCTATATCACACAGTCTAACCATGTAGTAGGCTACAGTACGTAGGTTTGTGTAGGTACTTTCCATGATGTTCACACAATGACAAAACTTGCCTAATGATACATTACTCAGAATGTATCCGTCATTAAGCAACACATATCTATATCTGAAAAGATGAATGAAACTGATTAATCCCTACCAAAATTCATTTTAAAAAGAAAGTACAAGGCATATTTAAAATATCAGAAATTGGGCCAGCAGGTGGAATGGAGGTTAAAGTGGCTGGGTCCCACATAGCTGACTGAGTGGTTTGAGTACCAAACCTGGTGGCTTAAAAATCACACTGGGTACAGGTGCATGTGCATGCATGTCCAAAATCCCAAGAGGAGAATGAAGGATAAGGGATTGTGGCATGACCATCTCTTCTGGGGGTGATTTCTCACTTTATCCCACCCCCCCACCAGTGAGTGCACATATACTATAGCAAAAACTAAAAACAAAAAAATAGTGATAAAAGAGAGACAATAGTACAGTTACTACAGTAAGACAAAGGGGAAAAAGGAAGTAAAAGAATTAGAAAGAACATGTTATCCATTTGCAGATAACTTTTCTACATATAAAAAACAAACAAAACTCAGACATTTTATTATTAGAATTAATAAAGTTTGTCAAGTTTGCTACATAGAAGATGAATAACAAAAATTATATGTAGTTTTTCTTAATTAGTAAGAAGGGGTTAAAAATATATGTAATCTTAAAAAAGATACCACTATACCTTTATAGAAATAAGGTATCACTTTTGGATATAATTTAAAAATGTTACTGAATGACATCAAAGGGAATCTAAACAAGTATAAGATACAGCTTATTCCATACAGGAAGACTCAAAATCATAATGTTTTCCAGATTAATTTATAATCATTCAATTTCAGTTAGAATCTGAGTACATCTTTCCTGGAACCTGACAATATAATGCTAAAATTTACATGAAAAGCTAAGGATCACAAACATCAAAACAAATCTAAATAAAGACAAGGGCTGGACTTGCCCTAGTGGATTTTAGGACTTTTTAAACAAGGCAACTGATAAATACAACATATCTTTGTTAGTTCTAATAACCAATACAAAATGTTCACCAGTAAGGGACATATAATATGCATGGAAAATTTGTATATGATAGAGGAGGCACTGCCGATCAGAGTAGGTAAGATGAAATTGTCAATAAAACCCAATTCTTGATGAATAAAGAATATTATAATGGGGTTGGCACTGCGGCCTAGTGGCTAATGGAGCCAGTTCCCACATGATTGATAGCAATTTGAATCTTAGCCCTGGTGGCAGGAAAAACACACCAGGCACATGTGTACACGTGCACAAAATCCCAACAGGATCAAGAATTGGAGGACTGCAGTATGATCATCCTCACTGGAGGGTGACTGCTTTCTCTTTCTCTCTCTGCTTCTTTCTGGTGAGAATCAAAACAAAAAAGAAAGAATATTATTGTGAAAAGTTGGCCCCATGGCCTAATGGTTAAGGGAGCCAGATCCCATGAGACAAACCGTGGTTCAAGTCATAGCTCTGTTGGTTTGAGAATCTTGCTGGGGCTGTGTGCCCCAAATCCTGACAGGATGAAGAAATGGGAGTAGAGACTATAATGTGACTATGCCCCGTGGTGGGGGTATGGGGATTCTCCCTTTCCCTCCCTCTTTGTCTCTCATTTTGGTAAGTGCATGTGCCCTTCAGCCAAAAAAAAAAAAAAAAAGAATGTTATGGTAAAAAGTCAACTTAAAAAATTTTATAAGTATAGGATGGCTTTTGGAAATGATCAGTTTAACTATTAAACAAAACTAAGAATCAGTGTTCAGAGATGCCTAAATATGAAAAGACATATCACAAATTATAAAATGATATTTACAAAACAGAAAACTGACAAATATTTTCACATTCCAGATATATAAAAAACTTCTAAGAAATAATAAGAAAAAAGACAACCTAAATTAAAAATAGACAAAAACTCTTAAATGAATTCTGTTGACAAAGATATGAAGTAAAAGGGTATATTTCCATTTTGTACAATTTAATATTAGTAGGCAAAAGTGAAATTACATAAACTATTAATAACCTATTAATTCTACACTTAATTATATCTTAGAGATAAATCTTTAAACATGTGCATCAGAAGATGAATATTATTCATCATCACAAAATACTGGAAATAACACACATGTTAACAGTAAGGACAATAGATAGTTGTGTCCTCATCACAGAAAGAAATACTATATAGTAATAACAAAAATGAATTATGTCTACACTTAATAGGAATGAATCTTACAAACAAATTGGGTGAAAAAAGCAAATCATAGGAACAAATACAGGAGATTCCATATATACAAGATACAGTTTAAAAGGAATATGTAAAACTAAATAATATGTTATTCAGTAAATATGTAGGAAAACCATAATAAAAACCAAAGTAAGATAAATAAAATTCTAGGCAAGGGTTAAATTTACCAGATCACAAGAGAGGAACATGACTAGGGAGAGGCACCTATGCAGTCTTTAAGATATGAGTAAATTTCTATTTCCTAAGCTGGCTAGCACTTATGTGGATACTGGTTTAACTACTCTCTCTCTCTTTTTCTTTTTTTGGAGAGGTTTTTGCTATAGAGCATGTGCGCTTGCCAGAAAGATAGAGAGAGACAGAGAGACAGAAAGTGAGAAATCATCCCCCCCGGGGGGATTGCCACGCCGCAATCCCTTTTCCTCCATTCTCCTCTCAGGATCTTGGGTACACACGCACACGTGCCCGGCGTAAGTTTTTAAGCCGCCAGGTCCGGGACTTGAACCTCAGTCGACTACATGGGAGTCCAGCGACATAGCCATTATACTAACTGTTGGTCAAAAAAAATTGTGCACTCGCTGAGAGAGACAGAGAGAGAGTGAGATGGACTCGATACCACAATCCTCCAGCCTCTATAGGTTTTTTATTTTTTTTGAGAGAGATTTTCACTGTAGGGCGCGTGCGTTCGCCAGACAGACAGAGAGAGACAGAGAGACAGAAAGCGAGAAATCACCCCCCAGGGGGATGGCCACGCCGCAATCCCTTCTCCTCCATTCTCCTCTCGGGATCTTGGGCACGCACACACACGCGCCCGGCGTGAGTTTTAAGCCACCGGGTCCGGGACACGAACCGCGGTCGACTACGTGGGAATCCAGCGACATAGCCATTACGCTAACTGCTGGTTCCCAGCCTCTATAGGTTTTTGCCACACGGTGGGCGCCACCACACCCTATACTTTAAATAACACTTTAATAGTCTTACATGTCAATTTGGAGGGGAAATAGTACCCAGTTAGCTAACCTAACAGTAATCCAGGTGTAGCTATGAAGGTATAGTGTAGATGAGACTAACAATGCAAATAAAGGGACTTTAACTAAAGATTACCCTTGATAATGAGGGTAGGGTTCATTCATTCAGCCGAAGGTCTTAAGAGCAAAAAGCAAGGTTTCCCAGAGAAGAAATTTTCCTTAAATCCTGTCTGAGTTTTCATCCTGCCAGCCTGCCCTACATATTCCAGTCTTGAGACTGCAACCTAATTCCTGTCAGAGCTTCCAGCCTCTCTGGTCTAACATATTTTGGACTTGCCAGCCACCACAATTACATGAGTCAATTCCTTAAAATACATCTCTTGATATATACTATTAGTTTTGTTTCTCTGGAGAACTCTGACTGGTAAAAACACATATGTGACACACACTTTGAGTATACATCCTAAACTACATTATGAAGTGGTGTTCTTTTGCCAGAGGGAGGGAGACCCAAAGGCATGGCAGCAAAAGAGGGTGGTACGTGGCAGAAATGGTGCACTAGTTTGGCAGGGCTGAAGCACACTGTGTGATAGGTGTAGAGGTGGAGGAAGGGGAACACAAGGAGAGAGGGAGGGAAGGGGAGAGAGGAAAAGAGAGAGTAAGAAAGAGAGAAAGGACATGAACAGATTTATACTCTAGAAAAAGTACTTCGGCTACAGTGAGAATCAAAGAGTAAGATTGGAGAAAAATCCAGATACTCTACAATGGTCTCAATAAGATATGACCGAAGATGGAACAGCAGAGTGGAGCAAGTATTAAGTGAAGGCAGCAGGGCAGATCGCCTAGGCAGTGTTAAAGGAACTGGATCCCACATGCCCAATCAAGGTTCTGTCCTGACCCAGCAACTTGAAAAATATGCTAGGAGCATGTGTGCATGCCCACAATCTTGATAGGATGGAGAACTGGGGAAGGGAATGTGCCAAGCCCATGCCCCATGAGGGTGTATTTTTACCCTTCCTCTGTCTCTCTCTGGCAAGTGTACATGTTCCCCTGGCAATTAAAAAATAAATAAATAAAAAAGAGGAGGAAGATTAAAAGACAGTATGAAATTAAAAATTGGAGGGACCAGCAGTTAGCGTAATGGCTATGTCGCTGGACTCCCACATAGTCGACTGCAGTTCGCATCCCGGACCCGGTGGCTTAAAACTCACGCCAGGCGCGTGTGTGTGCGTGGCTAAGATCCCGAGAGGAGAATGGAGGAGACGGGATTGCGGCGTGGCCATCCCCCCTTGGGGGTGATTTCTCGCTTTCTGTCTCTCTGTCTCTGTCTGTCTGGAGAGCGCACGTGCCCTATAGGGAAAAACCTCTCAAAAAAAAAGGACATACTGTTGACTGTCAAGTATTTGACTTGGGAGTAGCCAAAGTGGGGAAAGAAGTGAGAGGCTGGTGATTTGGTTTGGGGAGCTGGCCATGTTCACTTCAATGTAACACCTGTGGGACATGCAGGTGGAATGTATAGAGGCAATAAAAGTGGAAATTTTGTGGCTTCTAGCACAGCGTCAGGCAGAAGATCTGGGAGACATTAACATGTAGTACTTGTAACTTAGATGAGTGTGGATGAACTTGTTCGTGGAGAACAATTCTGCCAGTGAGAAAGGAAACATTTAAAGGGAAGTAAGGAAGAAGAACAGCTTGGGAAAAACTACCAGAGAAGAAGGAAAATAGGAGGAATAAAGTTGGAGTCCTGGGTCAGCCAGTGTTGTAATTGAGGAGGCTGGATCTCACATGGCTCACCTTGTGGTGTGCAGCTTGAAAATACGCTAGGTGTGTGTGAGCGCCCAAAATCCTGAAAGGAGGGAGAAATGAAAAGAGAAAGGATTGCAGCGTGACCATTCCCTGTGTGTGTGTGTGTGTGTGTGTGTGTGGAGGGGGGGGCGCGGGGCTCTTTCTCATTTCTCTCTCTCCAGTTAGTGCAAGTGCTCTCTGGGAAAATTAAAAAAAAAAAAAGAAAAGAAAAAGGAGTACCAAGAGCCAAAGAGTTTTGCTCTTTCTAAAAATGCTGCAGAGAGCCCTGGAGTTACGAAATCCAAAAAGTCAAGAGTGGTGGGAACCAGCAGTTAGCATAATGGCTATGTCACTGGACTCCCCCGTAGTCGATCGCGGTTCACGTCCCGAACCCGGTGGCTTAAAACTCACGCCGGGCGCGTGTGCGTGCGTGCCCAAGAT